CATCCGATAAAAGATATCACCTGGAATGTCGCCGGATAAACCACCTCACTGCCACCCTCCTCCCACTTCCCATCGTCACCCTCTCCTTGCTTTCGCTCCTTTCCAAACATCGTCCTAAAACACCTCATTAATAATAACAATAATAAATAACAAATAAAAACAATAATAAATAATAATAAACAATAATAAATAATAAAAAAAACAATAATAAATAACAACCCACCTATAAATAGCATCTGCTGCCACCAACACCTCCCTCCTCAGATTCGCTGACCTATTCCGAGCCGCATTCGATTCACCCATACACTGCAGATCGTACATCAACGCGAACATACTCGGATATCCCACCTTCAATAAAAACAATAATAATAACAATAAATAATAAACAAAATAACAATAAATAATAAACAAAATAACAATATATAATAAAAAATAACAATAAATAACAAAAAATAACAATAAAGACAACAAACACAATAACAACAAATAACCACAACCCCCAAACCCACCTCAATCTCATCCGTATCCAACGTAATCATATCAAATCCCGCTCTATTCATCAACGACCCAATATCCTGTGGCTTTATAAACGGCGATATATGCGCCCCAATACCACCTATAACAACAACAATAACAATAATAAACAATAACAATAAACAATAATACATAATAACAACATATAACAACAATAAATAATAAAAACAATAAATAATAAATAAAAAATATACCCATTCTCTCCGTCTCAGCCAACTGCAATGATATCCTCAGCTCATGAAGGGTCTCTCCAGCCAACACCGCCCCTATCATCGGACAGTCCGGTCGCAGGATATCATAGCATCGCTTGAACCTGACCTTTTACTATATAATATTATATATATTACTATATATATTATTAATATACACATCCATCATTATGTATATTATTAATATACATATATATTATTAATATACAAATCAATAACTAACCATTCCGGTAGCCTATTGATCCAGTGTGCACTCAGGGAGGATACTACCAAATCAGCACAATTATCTCTGAACGGTACCAACTCCTCATCGCCTATCACGCGCGCGGTCACCACCTCCGCGTCCGCCGCACGCTTCGCGCGTCGTATCAACGCCTCGCTCATGTCGCACTCGATTAACATGCCTACATTCTCCTAAATAATAAATAATAATAAATAATAACAAATAATAATAAACAACAATAAACAATAATAAATAATAAACAACAAACACAACAACAAAGTAACAAACAAATAACCTTAATAACATTCGGTGCAATATGCCCACCCCCACAACCCAAATCAATACACACCTCGTTATACTTCGTCAAATCGTATATTTTGTCCGCTACTCGATAACCGAACTCATCCTGCAACATAATTATAATAATAATAATAATAAATAACAATAATCAATAAAATATAATAATAAATAATACATAATAATAAATATATAAATATACACTATAACACTATACAATAATAAATATTACATAACTAAATAAATATAACACTATATAAACGCAACAATAAGCAAATATAACACTACATAATACACCACATAATAACAAACAACTAAATCAACCCAACAAATAAAAAACAATTAAAATAATAACCCAAATAATACATAATAATGAATATATAATAAATAAAGAAAAACTAATAATAAATATACAATAAATTAATAAATAATAATAACTAAAACCCACCTTCACGTACTGACACACGCCATAGAACTGGCTCCTAGCTGCTCTATCCCTCTGCCTCAATTTCGCCCTCCTATCGAATACACTCACCCTCTGCGGTACGGTTGCCCCCGCCACTGCCGG